ACATTCAATAAACAAAGACCATGGCATCTGGTCCCATCACTTCGTGGCAAATAGATGGGGAAACAGTGGAAACAGTGACAGACTTTCTTTTCGTGGACTCCAAAATCACTGCAGACGGTGAGTGCAACCATGAAATTGAAAGATGCTTGCTCCTTAGAAGAAAAGCTATGACCAACCTAGACAGCATATTATAAAGCAAAGACATTACTTTGCCAACAAAGGTCAGTCTAGTCAAAGCTATGGTTTTTTTCAGTAATCATGTATGGATGTGAAAGTTGGACTAAAGTAAGCTGAGCATCGAAGAATTGATGCTTTTGAACTGTGGTGTTGGAGAAGACTCTTGAAAGCCCCTTGGACAGCAAGGAGATCAGACCAGTCGATCCTCAAGGAAATCAGTCCTGAATATTCATTGGAAGGACTGAGGCTGAAGCTGAAACTCCAATACTTTGGCCAACTGATGCGAAGAACTGACTCATTTGAAAAGACCCTGATGCTGGGAAAGATTGAAGGTGGGAGGAGAAGGGGCGACAGAGGATGAGATGGTTGGGTGGCATCACTGACTCAGTGGACATGAGTTTGAGAAAGCTCTGGGAGTTGGTGATGGACAGCAAAGCCTGGTGTGATGCAGTTCATGGGGGTCACAAAGAGTTGGACATGACTGAGAGCAGCTTAACTGAACTGAAGAAGAAACTAAAATATTACTTTTCTTTTAATTTACATGCATTTTCAAGGGCTTCCCTGGTAAAGAATCTTCCGTGGCTTAGCTGGTAAAGAATCTGCCTGCAATGTGGGAGACCTGGGTTCAATCCCTGGTTTGGGAAAATCCCCTGGAGGAGGGAAAGGCTACCCACTCCAATATTCTGGCCTGGAGAATTCCATGGATTGTAAAGTCCATGGGGTTGCAAAGAGTCGGACACAACTGAGCGACTTTCACTTCACTCAAGTGGCAACTAAGTTGACGTAAATACTTAACTGTTTTGACCTCACTTACTTACTAAACATAACTGTTGGATTTTTGTTTTTGTTTTTTGCAGGGAAGTGGGGAGGCCATTAAAAAGGAAGTAGGGGTTGCCATTAAAAAAAAATTACTGAGACATTGAGGGTGCCTAGAACCAAGAAAATTTGGAACACTTGCATTAGGTATAAAAAGTTGGAGATCTATACCTCTGTTTTATACATAAGTCAATAAAGGCAAAATTGTCACCTGAGGCCACCCATTGGGGTTAGGGTGTGTGTGTGGGGTCTGTGAAATTCACACTAGGTCCCATGTGATTTTTAAGAAGGCAAAAATGCCTCTCCCACCTCTATGTCCATTCAGATGTGTCCCCTGATTGTGAAGAAGGGCAGACTGGGGCCTGGATCCACCCCTTTCTGTTTGCCAAGCATCGCTATCTGACACCCTTCTCATTCAAGAGCGGGAGCCCTACTCAGGGGGCCCAGGACAACAGCCTATGTGTGCAGTGGGAGCTGAGGTTGGGCCCTGGGGGGGCCTCTCTCCTTAGACACCCTGGAGGATCTCCCCACGCCCCTTGATCCCCCTCCCAACTAAATCCACCTTCCGTCTCCTAGTCACTAGCTCAGGCACCTGGGTGCCGGGGCCCCAGAAGTTAAGGAGTTAAAAGTCATGTCATGGTGCTTCCCTAGTGGTCCAGTGGCTAAGACTATGCTTCCACTGAAGGGGGCGCAGGTTCGATCCCTGGTGGAGGAATACACCTCTTGGTGTGGCAAAAAAAAATGTCTTGCTGGGCATCCAGGTCTCACCCAATCCGGCTCCACATTCTAGGTGAGAGTCTCCGAGGGGCAGCTGCAGGTGGCAAGCAGCTTCCTGGAGGGGGTAACAAGGGGGAGAGCCACGAGGTGACAGCACGCGGCATCCTCCCTGAACTTCGGCTGGACTTGAGGATTCTGCCCCCAGCGGTGAGCTGCCTGACCCCAAAGCTACTTATGCTAGAGATAAAGGGACGCTCGGGAAGAAATGTGGGGGTCCCACTTTCCCAAGGGGCAATTGCCAGCACCATCCTGTGCAGCTAGACTGCCAGGCTCTAGGGGGACTCTGAGCAAGCCGTTCCACTCCTCTGAGCCTCTGTTTTCTCCTCCGCAGAATGGGAACAACAGTACCTGCTTCGTAGAGTGGTTCTGAACATTTCATACATTACTAAAGCTTAGTGCAGAGCTAAGTATACGTGGTCGGTGTGCAATGAAATGTATTCATTCCATGAATATTTATTGATTGCCTACTAAGTGGATGGGGCAACATTCTAAGCACTGGGAGTGAACAAGACAGACAAAAGCCCAGCCCTGGGAGGAGTGAGCGGACATTCTAGCAGAGGCAGACAGACCGTAAAAAACAAACATCATCCCGACTCAATGGACATGAATTTGAGCAAACTCTGGGAGATGGTGAAGGACAGGACAGCCTGGTGTGCTGCGGTCCATGGGCTCTCGAAGAGTGGGATACGACTGAACAACAACAGCAATGTAAGTAAATTACAGAGTGGTACAGTCCAATAAAGATAGGATGTGAGCCATAAATGTGATTTAAATGTTTCCAGTGGTACCATTATAACAGTAAAAAGAAATGAGTGAAATTAAGGTTTCTAATTTTTAATGTAAAATGTTTAAAAATGTAGTTTTAAGATTAAAAACTTTTGGGACTTCCCCAGCAGTCCAGTGGTTAAGGCTCCATGCTTCCAATGCAGGGGGCATGAGTTCGATCCCTGGTTGGGGAACTAGGGGTCCCATAGGCCACTAGAGTGTGGCCAAAATTTTTTTTAAATACACACACACACAAAAAAATTAAAAACTTTCACCTAAAATATTGTTGTTTTGGCCAGAGGCATCAGCTACATTTCAGGTGCTCAATGGCCACATGGGCTTCACGGTTGCTGGATGCGTCAAGTGAGTGCAAAAATGAAGACTTGACCAGCACCCTTATCCCTCCGCTGGCCTGGCCTGGTCTGCCACGAGCACCTCCTGGCCAAATGCCACCTTCTCCCTTCCACTGTTGGCATGCATGACCCAGGTTCCACAGACCCCTGAGAGATGCCCCAGCCTGGGGGAGCCTCAGCACCACCCTGCCCACTCCAGGCAATGGTGTCCACCCCTCGTTCTGGGGGCTTACGGCCACCCCAGGGAACAGACAGCAGGAAGTTTTGTCCAGGCTTTTACTGGAAAAGGGAAGAGGTGGGTCAGGGGGTGTGAGGATGAGTTTTTGTCCAGCGCTGGGATCAGTGGGAAGTGAGGGAGGGCTGGAACCTGCCTCTATTTAAAATTTGATATTTTTTGTTCATCAGATTTTTGGCATTAATTAAGAAATATATTTTATTCATATATTATAAAGTTTGTTTGTTTAAAGTGCAAAATTCAGCAGTTTTTAGTAAAGTCACAGAGTTGTGTAACATCACTCAATCAATATTAGAACATTTCTATCGTCCCCAAAGAAACCTTGTTCCCACCAAATAGCCATTCCCTGTCCCCACCCACATCCCTCCAAACCCTGGCGGCCATGAATCCACTTTCTGACCATATAGACTTGCCTCTTCTGGATGTTTCCTATATGTGAGATCGTACAAATAGATGGCCTTTTGTGTCTGGTTTCTTTTCACTTAGCATAATGTCTTCCAGATCGACACCTATTGTAGTATGAATCAGGACTTTACTCCTTTTTGCTGTGTATGCTCAGTCGTGTCCAACTCTTGGCAACCCCAGGGACTGTAGCCTGCCAGGCTCCTCTGTCCATGGGATTCTCCAGGCAAGAATACTGGAATGGGTTGCCATTTCCTTCTCCAGGGGATCTTCCCGACTCAGGGATCGAACTCAAGTCTCCTGTGTCTCCTGTGTGGCAGATGGATGCTGAGCCATCAGAGAGGCCCTCACTCCTTTTTATGGTCAAATAATATGCCATTGTATGGATGGACCAGGTTTTTTTCTATCCATTCTTTCACTGATGGATATTTATGTTTTTTTAATTTTTTGGCTATGGTGAATTATTCTGCTGTGAACATTCATGTGCACGCTTTTGTGTGGACATTTCTTTTAAATTTTTTAAGGCTTGCATTAATTTATAATTTTTAATATCCTTATATAAACTATTATTTTATCTAGATTTACTGAGTTCTTCCATCATCCCCTTAAAATTTGCACCTGAGTCAAGAACTTGAGTAGCCTCACTCTGCTTCCACCCTGCAGGTCCTGTCCCTGCTAGCTGCATGACTTTGGATGAGTTGCTTACCCTCACAGAACCTCAGTTTCCTCCTCTGTAAAATGGGCATAATCCCTGTGCCCACTCACAGCTGTTAGGGGGCTTCACGGAGGTAATGAAGTGAGTTACAGACCCGGTCCATAGCAGACGTGAGTCAACGCGTTTTTCCTCCTGGGAAGGCCTGGTGCCTGGGCTGGCCATGGGGAGCGTCCCCAAATGGATATGACCATCCCCTGCCCTTGAGGAGAGTTGACCCAATAGCCTGGAAATCCAAGGGGAACCTGCTGTTTGGTTCTCTGGCTCCAGCCTGACCTACTACGAGGTCCTGAGGGGGTGGGACCGGATGCTGGTCACCCGGAGGACTCCCCGGTTCCCAGCTCCTTGCACCCCAGCTGTGTGGGCCCCCCATTGCCGCCTCCCCCACCCTCCACTCTGCCCATTCCCGTGGAAGGCCGCGGCTCTACCACTCTCTGCTCTGCCATGAGGCCTGCACCGCGCAGGGTGAAGTCCAAAGTTCAGTCCCTTCGCTAAGCACACGGATAAATATGAACCTTGGAGAATTTCCCCAGCTCCAATGTAAACAGAGCGGGCAGGGGCCCTGATTCACTGGCCACTGGGGCCAGGGTTGGGGGTTGGGGGTGCCCACAGGGCTTGGCTAGTGGGGTTTGGGGGGGGCAGTGGTGCAAGGAGCCTGGCTGGGGCCTGCCTGCGGGCCGGCCAGCACGGAGCCAGCCCACGCGGTCAGGGGAGGCAGCCGGCTTGGTGGCCCCGGGCCGCGTGGCCCGGCGCTAGTGGAGCCATGGTTTCTAAACTGAGCCAGCTGCAGAAGGAGCTCCTGGCGGCCCTGCTCGAGTCAGGCCTGAGCAAAGAGGCGCTGATCCAGGCGCTGGGTGAGCCTGGGCCCTACCTGCTGGCTGGAGATGGCGCCCTGGACAAGGGGGAGTCCTGCAGCAGTGGCGGCGGCCGAGGGGAGCTGGCCGAGCTGCCCAATGGGCTGGGGGAGGCCAGGGGCTCGGAGGACGAGACGGATGACGATGGGGACGACTTCACGCCACCCATCCTCAAGGAGCTGGAGAGCCTCAGCCCGGAGGAGGCGGCCCACCAGAAGGCCGTGGTGGAGACCCTGCTGCAGTAAGGACCCCTCCCTTGTCCCCCGCCCCCAAGGAGCCCCGAGAGAGGGACTCACCCTCGGCTTCTGCCCAGCCCTTCCCAGTCCAGAGTCCCATGGGCTATAGCCTGGTTGTCGCGACGGGGACAGGGTCCGTTAGAGCTTGAAGGTGGTAGGAGGGGGGTTCTGGCTTGGAGGTTGGAGCCTCCAGCGCCCGATCTGGCCCTCTGCAGGGTCCCATCCCCATGAGCCAAGGCTTCCAGCCCAGAGCTTGGGAAGTGGGGCATGCCCCACAGGGGAACCCCAAGATGGGAGCAAGCAGAGTATCCACAATTTGAGTACCCAGGGAGAGAACCGGGGAAGGGCTGGTGGTGGGAATTTTTAGCTATCAGGTGCATTTCTAGCCCCCCAATCCTAACTTCCCTGCTAAGCTTCGGGGCACACCCCTGGCTGGGGTTTTGGGGGGTCCCCTTGGCCTCCCTAGAACTCGAGCTTTCAGCCGGGAGAACCCAGGTCTTTCTTACCTGCTGGAAATGGAGCCTCAGGAGGGGAGCTGCTCCCCTTTCCAGCACAGCCTCAGGCCCCCCCATCACCAGCAGGTACAGCTAGAAGCCTCCCCGCTCCATACCCCCACCCACGGGGTGGCTTTACCCATCTCCCGGAGGACGGGGTGGGTCTGAGCCCTCTGCTCCCCTCTCCTCAGCAGAGCTGAGCTGGTTACTAATTACCCACGAGTTTTATTATTTCTCTTTTGTTTTATAAATTTATAAATGGCAAAAGGCTCTGATAAGGCCTGTGATCATTAACTTGTAGGGCTGGTGGCCTGGGGAGGCCTGAGCCAACTCTGACTTCCCCCCCAGGTGGGGGTGGGGGAGGTTGGAGGTGAGGGAAGGGGAGCCTGGGGGCTGCAGGGACAGCCCCCCCTCCGAGGCTCTGTAACCTCCCTCCTAACAGCCCGGGGAGGGGTGCTGGGCTGAGGTTTCATAGGTGTCATTTTGGGCAATGTTGAGATGAACTCTGGAGGAAGCTACATACAGATAAGGATGAAGAAAGGAAACTGGGGCTCAGAGAGGGGAAGGAGCTGGACTAAGGCCACCCAGCTGGGGCTCCACATCCCTCTCTTGGGTGCCCGATCGATCGCCAGGACCGGGGTCGGAGCTGGGGGCGACTGGGGGGGGGGGGTTGCTGAGGAAGAGTTCCCAAAGACTATCTCTTTTCTGTCCAAGGTCCGGATCCCAGCCTGGGGTGGGGGAGGGCGGGATCCATCCCTCAGGGAGCCCTCAGGGCCTGCCAGGCCTTCTGAGGGTCGGGGAGGGGGCAGGGGAGCAGCCAGGGCCCCCTGAGTTGGTAGGAGGAGGAGGGCAAAGGGCCCTGCTGGGCTGCAGGGGAGGGGCATGGCGTCAGGCATCACCAGACCCAGGCATCACCAGATCCGGACAGGGTGGGGCTGGGCCAGAACTGCTCAGGGCCCCAGATGGGCTGGGGGCTTTCAGGGGTGTATAGGGGGCAAGTGGTGTAGCAAAGGCCTTACCTGGCTGGGTGGGGCCTCTTGACCAGTAGCCCCTTCAGTGGGATGGTGGGTGGACAGGAAGACTTGATCCACAGCACGCGAGCGGGAAGCAGGGGTCAAAGTGCTTCCTGGGGACCAGCAGAGACCTGGAGGCGGAGGGAGAGAGGGGAGACAGGAAGGAAGAGATGGGGGGTGGGGGGATTGCGTCTCAGGAGATGGAGACAGAGACCTGGAGAAGCAGAGTGGCGCAGAGGGGCCAGGAGGGGCCCGGGTCTGACATGCAGCTGGAAGAAGGGGCTGGGGAGAGAGCGAGCTGCCCCAAGCTGCGAGGAAGCTGGAGTGCTTGCCTCCCGCCCCGATTGGGTTTTCTTTAATGCTAACAGCATGCTATTTACTTTCCATTTAAATTTGAGATGTTGCTATAAATTATCAACCAGCTCCTTGTTCCTGCGGAGTTTATAACTAACTACCTGGGTTACTTATTGTTCAGGTAACAAAAGGGATCTGAAAACGCCCCGAGGGGGGAAAGTGGGGCCTTGGGCCTCAGGACACAGGCTGCAGAGGGGTGGGGGACCCCCATGACGGCCCTGGGCGGTGGGGGAAGTTGAGGCTGGAAAGGATGGCGAAGGGGTAGGACTTCCCCAGGAAGCCAGGTGTGACCCAGTGTTACCTTGGACATGTCTCTTCTCATCCTGCCTTGGTTTCCCTGACCTGGACAATGAGTAAAATTCACACTCCCCGCCCACCCTGGTTCCCTGACCTCTTCCTCAGGTACCTCTCCCCCTGCCACCACTGTCCTCCACTTAACACTACACTGACTTCAATGATTCCCACCTCAGGACCTTTGCACGTGCTGTACCTTCTCCCTGGAACCTTCTTTCCAGATCTTCCCATGACCAATTCCTTCCCCCTTTTGCTCCAATATCACCCCGTCGGGGAGGCCCTCCCTGATCACCCCATCTAAAGGTAGGTCCCAGCATCATCACTCTCTCTTCCCCTATTTTTGTTGACTTTCTCTTGAAATGTATCATTACTTATGATCATCTTATTTATCTGTTTTCCGTCTCGGGACGTGACTACCGAAGCTCTTCAAGAGCTGTGTTCACCACTCAGACCCCTGATCTCCAGCCCAGTAGCTGACGCTCTTCATGAATGACTGAGTGACAACTAGGTTTCTCTGCGCCCTGGGGACATCTGCTGCTATAGCCAAAGGAGGAGCCTGTCCCAGGGCTCCTTCCTGAGCGTCCTCCTAGGCCCTCCTATCACTGAGCGGCTCAAACTCGAGGGTCTCTGGTCCTCTCCATCGGGCAGTACCAAGGCCCGGAGACGCAGGAAGACAGGGGCTGAGGTGGGACAATCTGACACCCCTGACTGAGGCCAGCCTGCCTAGACTTGATCCCCAGCTTGGCTGGGGCAGGCCGTTTCAGTTTTCTGAGCCACAGTGTTCTCTGCAAGGCAGAACTGATCATAACACTTACCCACAGGGTTAAACAGCATGTAAGTGCAACAAACGACTGCTATTATCAGTGGTCCCATTTTACAGATGAGCAAACTATGGCTCAGAGAGGCAAAGTGACCTGCCCGAGGTAGTCTTACAAAGTAGTAAGGCCAGGGCTTGGACCCAAGTCCTCCACACTTGACACAGCACCCTGAGGCCGCATGCCTGCCTTTGACACGTTCATCCCCCTCTTTACCCTCCTCCGTCAGTCTCTCTGTTAACCACTGACTGACTTCCATGCAGTTCTCTACGGCTCGTGCGTACGTGCAGGCTCAGTCACTAAGTCGTGTCCGACTCTGAGATCCTATGGGCTGTAGTCCGCCAGCCTCCTCTGTCCATGCGATTTCCCAGGCAAGAATACTGGAGTGGGTTGCCATTTCCTCCTCCAGAGGATCTTCCCGACCCAGGGATCGAACCTGTGTCTCCTGCATTGACAGGCAGATTCCCTACCACTGAGCCACCTGGGAAGTCCCCTAGGGCTTATGAAGGGCTTACAAATGCATATAACTCATTTTCTCCTCCTGATAACCTATGAAATATTATTAGGCCTCTATCACAGTTGAGGAAACTGAGGCACATGGAGGCTAAGCAACTTCCCAGAGCCATCTGAAGGGTGAGTGGTAGAGTTGGGGTTCACGCTGAGAACTCGGCTCCCCTCCAGATAAATGGCCCTTCAGGCTGGTCTCCCAGCTCTGCAACCTTGGACCCACCAAAATCCCATGGGCCTGTGAGCAAGAGGCCCAAAGTCTCAAACCTCTAAGGGACTCCAGAACCGGCAGGAGGTGGGAGGAGGGAGATATGGGCAGATCTCCACCTGAGCCCTCCTCCGTCTGCCGTGGGGCTGGGAGGCCCCAGGACTAGGTTGTGGATGGTGATGATGGAGGTGGTGGTGGTAACAATACCATTCCACTTACTGAGCACTTACTGTGTGCCTGACCCTGACCTCATCATCAAACTCTAGTGATGAGCTTCACCCCTACTAGAAACTCAGCCAGTTCTCCCAACAAACAACTGGGAGGCAGGAGTGATCTGTCATCCTGTTACAGGGCAGATGAGAGGCATGTACACGACGGGTGTGAGATCACAGTGGTGGGATTCGAACCGGGGATTGGTTTGACTCAAACCCATCAGAGTGAAAGCAGGAGATGCCTGGAGACCTGGCCTCCTAATTCTGCCTTGGGGAAAATGTCCTGAAAAGAGCCATGTTCTTGGAGACTGTGTGTGTATGTGTTTTGTGGAGGTGGAGAAAGCAGAAAACAGAGAGAAAGAGAAAGTGTGTGAAACAGTGACAGGCAGACAGAGATACATAGGGTCAGATGGGCAGTGAGAGAGAGCAGATCTTTAGTTTGAGCCCGGAGAGGCGCTGCTCAAGGAAGACAGGGCTCCTTTCTCTCTGGAGAAGAGACGGAGGGAGGGAGGACCTCTCTCTCAGGAGGTGGATGATTGCAGTTGGGGGAGGAGGGAGGCTATGAGCAGCCCAGCCCCGGAATCAGATAAACATGTTTGCCGTGGAGCGCAAGACTGGACTTTGTCCTGCCCTTCCCTCCCAGGACTGACTGGCATCTGGGGAGCTGGTGGAGGGGGGTGGGTGGTGGGCAGGAGAGGCTTCTAAGGGCCCCTGAAAGCAGGGAGACGGGGCTCAGGCAGATGTCAGGGGTTCAGGCAAAGCCAAATAGTCCTGAGTCCCAGTGAGGTCCCCTTGGACAAGCATGCACCTCTCTGAGCCTCAGTTTTCTCACCTGTGAAATGAGCGGACAAGTAGCACCTACCTCCTAGGGTTAAGATTTAAATGACCAGCCCTAAGCACAGTGCCCGGCTCCCTGTGAATGCTCAAAAACGTGCATTCTCCCGGCTACCGTGTTTACACGAAGGGGACTTTGCTGGACTGACTGCTGATTGTTTTAACTGCGTCTGTCCCTATCTTCCCTTCCTGTATGGGAACTGCTGATAAAAAAGGAGGAAGTCAGAGGGCCAATGAGGATGAAGGTCTCTGTGCCCTTGTGTCTTAGAAAGTCACCGTCAGGGGGGCAGGTGAGACTGGTTCTTGGAGGAAAGAGAAGGGCCAGGGGAGAAGGTAGTGCGGGGTGGGCTTTAGAGTGCTGGGGGCGGGATTAATTTGCTTTTAGATTTTTTTTTTCACAATTCAGTTTTAAACATGATCTATGTAGTATATCATCAATATATGATATTGATATCTATGATACATGATCCTGTATCATATAATTTACAAAGCGCAGAGGAGGAACAAAGAAAAGCCCCCCGGCCTCGCCCTGTCCCTAGCATCCAAGCAGTGTCTCCAGTTCATTCTGTATCCTTCTGGTACTTTACGTGAACACAAGCAAATATGTAGAAATCTTTTATACCACTTAAAAAATTTTTTTTTTAAATTTGCCTGTACCAGGTCTTACCTGCTGCATGCAAGAGCTTTGTTGCCTCATGCGGGCTCTTAGCAGAGGCATATAGGATCTAGTTCCCTGACCTGGGCCCCCTGCCTAGAGGGCACAGTGTCTTAACCACTGGACCACCAGGGAAGTCCCTGTCCCACTGTTATGCCTGATGTCCGAATCCCTGAGTGGGAAGAGAGAAGGCTTCCAAGACAATGCAACTCGCAAAAAAGGGAAGTTTATTGCTGACTCAACTCAGGGCTCCTGCCGCGCGTCCAACGCAGTAGTACCGGGTCAGAGAGCGCTGAGCTCAAGCTGTTACCCAATTTATAAGGTGTGCATAAGCAGTTGGTAGCTGGCTTAAGTGGATTGGTTACATGTTTGCAAAGTAATCTTATTGGCCCAAACCTTCGCGGGCTTTTTTCAAACTTGGGCGTTCGCGGGCTTTTCAGCTTTCCCCTGATAGGTTCCCTTTTTCTTGCTAGGCGCATGTTGATTGGCTGGCTCCAGGTTACCTGATGGGGGCGCGGAATCCCACCATTTCATGGGAAACCGACCTGGAAACCCCATACCACTTTAAGTTTTATTTTTGTTTATTTTTTTTAATATATAATTTATTTTATTTTATTTATTTTTTTTTTTTTTCGCTGAACCAATTTTGTTTATTTTTTGACTGTGCTGGGTCTTTGTGGCTGTGTGGGCTTTTCTTTAGTTGCAACGAGTGGGGGTTGCTCTCTAGTTGCAGTGCGTGGGCTTATAGTGGTGGCTTGTCTTGTTGGGGAGCACGGGCTCTAGGGCACGTGGGCTTCAGTAGCTGGGGCACCAGGGCTCGGGAGTTGTGGCTCCGGGCCCTAGAGCACAGGCTCAGCAGTTGTGTCGGATGGGCTCGATTGCCCTGAGGCATGTGGGACCTCCCAGGACCAGGGCTCGAACCTGTGTCTCCTGTATTGGCAGGAGGATCCTTTCCCACTGGACCATCAGGGGAGGCCCCACACAGCAGATGTACCGGACAGATTGTCCCAGCTGGGCTTCTGCAGCGCTTTCTCAGTGGGTTTCTATGGCTGCATTGGAGGGAGGCGCCACGACTGGGTTGATCAGCGTCCTTGTGCTGGACATTTATTAGCTTGTTTCCAATCTCTGGCTGCAACACGTGACACAGCAACATGTAACCTCCGGCACACGCCATTCGTCACACGTGCCAGTACTGGAAGCCTCTGATTTCTAAAAGCAAACCGCTGTGACCAGGCGGTGGGAACACAGGCTTGGGATCGCACAGACCTGGGTTCAAATCCCAGTCTCTCTCAGCACGGTTGTATCTGGCATGTGATGTAACAGAAACTCAAGAGAGGATGAAGGGAAGACAGGAAGGCTGAGACAGAGCAGGAGAGGGAGAGAGATGAATTTATATCATACAGGCAGCCTGACCCTTTCTGTTCCTCGTGGTGAGCAGAGGACAGGAGGCTGAGACACAGTGGCCTCAGGTCGCTTGAATCCCTCCAGTGACAGAACTATGTACATTTTTTCTTACGAGAAGTTCTTGGGATGCCAGCCCATAACCTTGCGACTCTGTTGAAAAACTCGCCATCAGCCTCAGGGCTGTGCTGAGACTGGTCACGCCACCATCTAGGCTTTAGTGCAGATTTTCAGAAGGCATTTTGACACTATGTAATTTTTGCCAGATGAGTTGACTTAGAACTAAATCCCTTGAGCTGGGGTGGGACTCTGCTGGGCTGACCCCATGACCTTGGGCAAGAGGTACATGTGACGCAGTGCTTTGACCCTCAGTGACCCTGGCTGTCAAGTGGGAGAATCATGTTTCTTGCCTTCTTGGCAGATTCAATTTTTTCCAGTAGATCACTCTCATCTATACATCCACCCACCCACCCACCTATCCATCCACACTTTCAACGCTCATCCATCTATCTAACTTACCATCTATTCATCCATCCGTCTACCATCTACCCATCAACCATCACATTGCTTCATCTATCAGCCATCCTCTCACTTGCCATCCACCATCATCAATCCATTGATCATCCCATTACCTATCCATCCATCCATCCATGCTTTTATCCACTTATCCACCCATCTACCCTACAATCTGTCCATCCATATACCCACCTATCTGTCCATTTATCCCATCTACCCATCAACCATCCTATTTATCCATCCATCCATCCTCTCACCCACCACCCACCATCAATCCATTGGCCATCCCATTACCTATCCGAGCATCCATCCATGTATCCATCCATATACACATACACTCATTCATTCATGCAGTCACCAAGGGCATAGTCTATGTCAGGCCTATGTTGGGTGCTGAGAACCAGACAGTTCCTGCCCTCCAGGTGTTTACAGTCTCTCAGTGGATAAGACACAGTCACAAATAACATTTCTAGGTAGAATGAGGAGGGGTCTTTAACGGAGGCACAAAGTTTAGGATCCTCCCCATGGGCCTGTGTAGCTTCCAGGGGGAGCCTATTTAAGTCCACATGTGTGTCCATGTGTCCCTGTGTGTTTCTAAACCTTTATCTGTCCCTGTGTGTGTGCAGGGCTGGTTGGGGCCTGTGTCTACAGGTCTGCCACGTGTATGTGTCTGCGAGTCTCTGCCCCATGTCCTTGTGTCCTGACATGAGCGCCCATACCTCCCCATCCCTGAGTCGGGCCACAGGCCCCTGGGCTCCACACCTGCCTCCATCCACCATCCCCGCCTCCCGGGTGGACAGGGCTCCCAGCACCCACCCCTGGCTCAGCAGACCATCCTTCCCCCAGGGAGGACCCGTGGCGCGTGGCCAAGATGGTCAAGTCCTACCTGCAGCAGCACAACATCCCGCAGCGGGAGGTGGTCGACACCACCGGCCTAAACCAGTCGCACCTGTCCCAGCACCTCAACAAGGGCACGCCCATGAAGACGCAGAAGCGAGCCGCCCTCTACACCTGGTACGTCTGCAAGCAGCGAGAGGTGGCCCAGCGTAAGTAATGACCGGCAGCAGCCCCGTATTCCCCGCAGGGCCTGGGACTCCCTGCAGCTCGAGGGCGGGGGCTGGAAGTCTCGCCCCCTCCCCATTCCTCGGATAGGCAGAGGGACAAAGTCGAGGAGCAGGTGGGGTCAGGGGGTGGGGGGGGGCGGGATTCAACCAGCGTGTATCACCTGTTCTGCCAGAGGCGCTCTGGGGGAGGGGAAGAGGGTTGATCCTGGGCATCGAGAGATGGATGAATGGGGTCCCTGCCTTCTAAGAGCGTCCCGTGCGGAGGGGAAGCTGGAGGACAAATCTGCATGATTTGGTGAGACAAGAATTAAAATGTGGTAACGCCAGCGAGAGCCAGCGTTTCTGGAACACGCACCATGTGCCAGGCCCAGCACAGAACACCACAGGGAACGTTTCCAAGTGTTGAGCTTGAAGAGGAGCAGCTCCTCTTCCTCAGGGAGGGGGGGCATCAGGAGGGGTCACACGAGGAGCATGGCCTCTCCACTCAGTCTTGAAGTGTCAGTTGAATTTCGACCCCTGAAGATGCAGGGAAGAGTGTTCCGGCAGAAGGAACAGCAGCAGTGAAGGCTCAGAGGCGAGGCGCACGCTCAGGGAACCCTCTGCTGCAAACCTGGGGACAGCTAGGAGCGTTCTCATTCAGCGCATGGTGGATTTTACCACCTGAACTTCATACCCCACAGAATCCCTTGTGCACTTCCACACTTTTGAGCCTAAGTGTAAAAAAGATGTTTTTTGATGTTTCTTTTATAACTATCCAGCTTTTTTTTTTTTAAGGCAATACTCATACTTAGTTTTAAAAAACAGAAGAAAGATTTTACAATAAAAATTAGGTGTCTTCTCCTAAAGCAGCCATGGGCATTCCTAGTCTCATACAGATCCTTCCAGAGGTATTATATGCATATACTAATGCTGTTTAGTCACTCAGTCGTGTCCGACTTTTGCGACCCCGTGGACTGTAGCCTTCCAGGCTCCTCTGTCCATGGGGCTTCCCAGGCAAGAATATGGTGAACATTGAGCCACTAAGGATGACCCCCGTGCATACATGAGCCATATACTATATATATATATATATACATATATATATATGTACACATATATATTTCCCCTGCTGTTTGAAGGGCAGCTAGCTATTCTGTTATTTGGAGGTGCCATTAACTGGCCTCCTACCAAAGAATCAGCTGAGAAAGGGGCTTGGTCTCTTCTCTCCTGGCTAATACTTGTACTTTAAGCTTGATTTTCGAGTCTAGAATATTGAAAATAACTCTTGAATCTACTCAGGAGATATAAGTTCAGGTTTCTGCTCTACTGTGTGGCTCTGGAAAAATATTTAACCTCCCTGACCCTCAGTTACATCGTCTGTAAAATGGGATGGCATATGTGTCAAATGTGAATAAAAAGGCGATGCTTACTTGGAGCCTTGTATTGAGGACTGTGAGATTATATCTTGGCCCAGTAGAAAAGTGTGTAGGGGTTGATTAGTGATGTCTGCCTTGGACACAGGTGAGGCAAGGAGTGACATGTGGGCTGTGTGTTTGTCATCACTGGATTAGGCGATTTCGGGGTTTGAGCTGTAAGCTCCTCTGGCTCAGCACCTTAGGAATGAGAAAGAAGCAGAGGCATGCTCAGGCTGATTCAGGAAGGTAGGACTGGCCAGTGTCCTGCTCATGGCTCTCTGTGCCCACAGAGTTCACTCACGCTGGCCAGGGTGGGTTGATTGAAGAGCCTGCGGGAGATGAGCTACCAACCAAGAAAGGGCGCAGAAACCGTTTCAAATGGGGCCCAGCATCCCAGCAGATCCTGTTCCAGGCCTACGAGAGGCAGAAGAACCCCAGCAAGGAGGAGCGGGAGGCACTGGTGGAGGAGTGCAACAGGTAGGATGGTTGGCAGTCAGCAGGGCTGGTTGGGTCTGGGCTGGGGAGAGGCTGGGGAAGGAGGGCTTCCTTCCTTCCTTCAAAACCAGGGAGTCTCCTCTGGTTTTGAGAGCTCCTGCTGTTGGCCCAGGAGTTCTCAGCTCCTGCTCAGGGCCTGAAACCTAGCTCTATTTCTGGCACCCACCCTCCACCCAGGGGTCCCCAAAACCTCCAAATCTAATGCCTGATGGCGTGATGTGGAGCTGATATAATAATAATAGAAACAAGTGTTAGTCACTCAGTCGTGTCCGACTCTTTGTGACCCCATGGACTGTAGCCTGCCAGGCTCCTCTGTCCATGGGATTCTCCAGGCAAGAACACTGGAATGGTAGCCATTCCCTTCTATAGGGGATCTCCCTGACCTAGGGATCGAACCTGGGTCTCCTGCATTGCAGGCAGAGGGAAGCCCCAGCAGAAACAGAGTGCACAATAAATGTAATGCATTTAAATCACCCCAAAACCATTCCCCGCTCCCCAGCCCATGGAAAAATTGTCTTCCACGAAACCGGTCCTTGGTGCCAAAATGGTTAGGAACTGCTGCCCCGCCTACCCAAGCGCCCCTGAGTGGGGCTGCTCGTCTCACTCACCCTCCACTTACTGTGCTCACTCTATATGAAGAGACTTAAGAGAGGCTAAGCCGTTTGCTCAAAATCACAGAGCAGATTGGGCTCAGAAGCCAGGTCTGTCAGCTGCAGCAGACGCTCAGGTAGAGCCCTGATTCTCAGAACCCTCCCCCAGCCCCAGGAGGCTCACTGTGCCCATCTCTGCAGGGCGGAGTGCATCCAGAGAGGGGTGTCGCCGTCGCAGGCCCAGGGTCTGGGCTCCAACCTCGTCACAGAGGTGCGTGTCTACAACTGGTTTGCCAATCGCCGCAAGGAGGAAGCCTTTAGGCACAAGCTGGCCATGGACACGTACAGCGGGCCGCCACCGGGGCCAGGTCCCAGCCCTGTGCTGCCTGCCCACAGCTCCCCTGGCCTGCCCCCACCCGCCCTCTCCCCCAGTAAGGTCCACGGTGAGTGCCAGTGGGCAGGGGGACTGGGCAGTGGGCAAAGCGAATATGGGGGTAAGTGGAAGAGCTGGGGAGCACCTCCCCAGGGGCAGCAGCCCCGCAAACCACTTAGTATCTCATTATGGCTCCAACTCTTTTCACGCTGCCCTATCCACCCCACCCCTCTCCACTCCTCTGACCACTCAGCTCCACCCACTGCCCTCTCTTCTGTCCACTGCATTCACTCCAACCCCACTGGATTTTGGTTACTGCAATTCATTCCTGATCAAGCCAACTCAATTCCTTTCAGCTCAGTTCAATTCAACTCAATCCAGTTCAACTCACTATAATCTGAGTTTCATTTAAATTTCATACAGTTTCGTCCAGTCCCATTCCCAACTGATCAGTTTAACTAAATGTATTCCAAGGAAATTCAGTTAATCTCGTATCGCTCAGTTCAATTTCAGTCCAATGCGATTTGATCCCGTTCGACTCAATCAATCTCAGCTCATTTCAGGTTTGATTCAGCTTGATCAGTTTCATTCAACTAATTCCAATTCATTCTATTCAAGTTTGCCGCGGTTTAATTTCATTAGCCTCAGTTCAGTTTGGCTCTGTTGTCTTTCATTGAGCACCAACTGCATGTCCAGTGCAGCCCTGGGCAGTGGGGGCCACAGAGCTAATAAAACACAAAGCTTGTGTTCAAGGGGTTGAACAAGCAGCCAGCACAGGGGCTGGCAGGAAGTGGATACTCCAGCAGAATCTGCTGGCTGCATAGAGAAAGGTGGTGTGAGTGGCCCGAGCAAGCCAATACAGTTTGGGATGTTGGGGGCCGTGGACATGGGCAGGGAAGTGGGGTGCTGAGGTTGGACACTGCTCCCATTCCAGGCGTGCGCTATGGACAGCCTGCCACCAGTGAGGGGGCGGAAGTGCCCTCCAGCAGCGGCGGTCCCTTGGTGACGGTGTCTGCACCCCTGCATCAAGTGTCTCCCACCGGCCTGGAGCCCAGTCACAGTCTGCTGAGCACAGAGGCCAAGCTGGTGAGTGTCCCCCCGCCCTCCTCCCATCTCCCTTTGGCTGGGAGATTCTGGGGCAGTCCCCAGGGAGGCAGGGTGGGGCCCCACCCTGACTCTGTCTGGCTTCCCCTCCAAGGTCTCAGCCACTGGGGGCCCCCTGCCCCCGGTCAGCACCCTGACAGCACTGCACAGCTTGGAGCAGACATCCCCAGGCCTCAGCCAGCAGCCCCAGAATCTCATCATGGCCTCCCTTCCTGGGGTCATGGCCATTGGGCCTGGAGAGCCTACCTCGCTGGGCCCCACGTTCACCAACACGGGAGCCTCCACCCTGGTCATTGGTAAGCTGGTGGGGCTGGAAGGGGGCCGTCTAGGTGAGGGGCTCACGGGGGTTCCTGCTGAATCCAGGAATGGGGAGAGCCACTGGGACTCATTCATTCATAGATTTATTGAGTGCCTGCCCCATGCTCCACCAGTGATACACAAGTGAACCAAAGAGCCCCAGAACTCAGACGATAAATGTAACACATAAGTTACACAGTACCTGAGATGGTAAAACAGCTACTGGAAAACGGCAGCGTAAGGGGGACTGACATTTTCTAGGTTTTATTTTTTTTTTAAAGCTCAGAAAGACTTTATTCACAGAACTATTATGCAGAAGCTCAATATATGACAGATAGGGAATTGCGGGGGAAGGGGTACTGAGAGTTAGGCCCCAGGGCCTTTGCACTGCCGTGGAACCCCAGGGCACCAGGGAACCCTCTTTGACACACTCCCTGCCCTTATAGTGAGCTAGCATCTCAGAGAGGGGGAGTCACTTGCCAGAGCCTTAACCCAGTGCAAGGCTGTTTCTGGATTAACTCGTCCCCTCCTCCAACCCACGGGATCTAGGAGGGAGGGAAGGTGCCCCTGGGGGTCTGGGCTGGGCCTGGGGACGCCGAGGAGGTGGCCAGAGGCCTGGCCGACCCCTGACCCTCCCACCGCTCCAGGCCTGACCTCCACGCAGGCACAGAGCGTGCCGGTCATCAACAGCATGGGCAGCAGCCTGACCACCCTGCAGCCCGTCCAGTTCTCGCAGCCGCTGCACCCTTCCTACCAGCAGCCGCTCATGCCCTCTGTGCAGAGCCACGTGGCCCAGAGCCCCTTCATGGCCACCATGGCCCAGCTGCAGAGCCCCCACGGTAAGCACCCCTTGGCCCCCTGCTGGGGGGTAGGGGGGTGGGAACCCAGGGGAAGGGGCGCATGGCAGGTGCTGCGGTCTGTGTGTGTGTCTGATACTCACAAAGGTGTGAGTGCTTCTGTGACGGGGACTCCGGGGGTGCTCAGATGCACGTCCGTGGGCTGAATACATTTCAGGGTGTGAATCCATGTGGTCATGTGTACACACCCACGTGTGCCCTTGGGGCCATGTGTAGCTCTCAGCTGTTAGAAAGGTGATATGGTGCGTACACCATGAGGACATACAACACTCCCAGCAAGGCTTGGTCCAACACCCCTTCATCAAACACCACAGTTTCTGCAGCCAAAGGGAGAATTCCACGAAGCAGGGTTAATAGGCTCAGGACCGACTTCGCCACCAGATGAGCTCTAGTACCATGATGAACACCTGTTGGTTTGCAGACTTTTCTGGAACTCGGACTCTTGGATGAGGGATTTGTGGACCTGAACATCTGTGTGCATGTGGTGGAGGGCACCATTTATGTGTGTATGTGGGTGGCTGTGTTTTTATCTGAGTCCATGTGAGCATAGGTGATTTGTGTCACTTTTCTGCTGGTGTCTGTGTGTTTTGCGGAGGCTGGGACTACAGATGAAATGCTGGGTTACACTGTAGAGGGGGTCCTGGAGGTGGGGGATAAGATGTGGCCCCCTCACCCGGGCGCCGACCCTTTCCTCCGGGACCGGTACCGAGTACCCCATCAGCACCTGCACCTCTGGGTCCCTTCCACACCTGCACTCTCCGGGTGACCGTGGGGGTGGGCTTGGGCTCCCCACCTCCCCCAGGCTCCTCCCCACAAGACAGGCAGAGCAGGCCCCTGCGGTTGGGGACAGCACCCATCTCTTCTATCTGGAGCCCCCAGTTTTTAGAAATCAGCCCTGAGTCGCGGACCACTGCCCCACTGGGGGGCTCACTAGGCCCGCGCCCCTGCCTTGAGGCCCCTCGTGGGAGGAGCCCAGCCGGACCCAGGCGCCATGTCTGTACCCTGCTCTCTCCTCCCTCCCCCAGCCCTCTATAGTCACAAGCCCGAGGTGGCCCAGTACACCCACACGGGCCTGCTTCCGCAGACCATGCTCATCACCGACACCACCAACCTGAGCGCCCTGGCCAGCCTCACGCCCACCAAGCAGGTAAGACCCGGGCCGGCACCACCTGCCCATGGGCCCTGCCCCAGCACACATCTCGGGGGGGCTCAGGAGCTGCTCTTCCGCCAGGTCTTCACCTCAGATGCTGAGGCCTCCAGCGAGTCCGGGCTTCACACGCCCGTGTCTCAGGCCACCACCATCCACATTCCTGGCCAGGACCCCGCTGGCATCCAGCAGCTGCAGCCCACCCATCGGCTCAGCGCCAGCCCCACCGGTGAGCCCCCTTGCCCCGCACCGCCCCTCCTCGCTGTCCCCACAGCTGAGGGAGGTGGACGTGGCGGGTGGGGGGGAGGGGTGGACATGCGAGGGGGCACCGGTGCTCCCCTGAAGTGAGACGAGAGGGGTGTGAAACCACAGGAAGCGGGCCTGTCTCACCGGAACATCCGTTAACTCGGTTGAGGAAGAAGCTAACCCGAAGTAGGGTGGAATCAGGAGGCGTGGGAAGGGCTTGCTGGGGGTGCCCGAAGTGACTCGTGGATGTGCTGCTCTGGCTCAGTGTTTAGTGTTTTTTGAATCTGTTGCCAACAGTTTAAATATTAAGAGCTCTCACACATTTCTGGCTTCTCCTGGGAAGTCAGAAGGACTCATGTTCCCTGTAGCAACCCCAGAGCCTGCCACATCCCACCCGAACCCTGCATTTCCATCCCCTGAGAACCCGAGTCTGCAGCCCGCAATGCCATGGTGATGAGCAGGCACTGTGGAGTCAGGCTGCTGGGCTCTGAGACCCGGGGTGGCCACTTGCTAAGTGTGAGTCTTGGGGTCCTCCATCCAGTCCTGGAGGCTGCAGGGACGGTCCCTGAGGGCTCCGCTGTCCAGGATCTGTGCTCGACCCATGAGGTGGGCGGCAGCATCCCTGTTTTCCAGATGAGAAAGCACTCAAGGAGGAGAGGGGCTTGGAGGTGGGGCCAGGACCCAGACCCGGGTCCAAACTCCATGTCCATTCAGTAACCGTGTGAATCCGTCAGGGTTCTCCTGAGACACAGAACCAATAGGGATACACACACACGTGTTTAAGAAATTGGTTCATACAACCGTGCGGTCTGCATCTGAAAGCTGCAGGGCAGGAGACCCTGCTGCAGTCTCCTTCTCTGGGAAGCATCAGCTTTTGCACTAAAGGCTTCCACTGATTGGATGAGGCCCACCCACACTGTCAAGGGACATCTCCTCTACTTAACATCAACTGGTGTAGGTGTTAACCACATCTGCAAAATACACGGCGATGTCTGGACTGGGCTTCGGATCATGACTGGATACTAAAAAGCAAAGCTGACGCATGAAACGAACCACGACGCCGGCTCACCAGGGCTCCTCTGACGTACTCGCTAAACTGGGCTAGGGCTGTGGGGGCCACATCCTGGGGGCCCTGGAGCCGGGCTGGGTTAATAAGGCCTGAGAGCTGAGGTGTGACTTTGGGGTTCTAATAACCTGCTGAAACTCAGGAGGTGGTGGGGGTGCTCCTTTCCCACCCCAAACGCCCTCAGGGATGGTGGTGGTGGGGTGTGGGGTTGGGCCGGGCGTGGTGGGCACCAGCCACCTCCTCTGCCTCCGCAGTGTCCTCCAGCAGCCTGGTGTTGTACCAGAGCTCCGACTCCACCAATGGCCATGGCCACCTGCTGCCGTCCAACCACGGTGTCATCGAGACCTTCATCTCCACGCAGATGGCCTCTTCTTCCCAGTAACCATGGCCTCCCAGGGGCCCTGGAGCCTCCACAGTCTGCTGGAGGGGTGACCAGGACATCTGAAGCTGCAAACCTTTACTGCTCACTGGGCACCTGCTCATCCCTGGAAAACTGTGCCTCAGTCCCTGTCCCCATCTTGCCAGCTTCAGAAACGGGGGCTTCTGAGGCGCCTCCACCTGAGGAGGGTTGCTTCAGTGCCCAAGTGGGGACCGTGGAGAGCTGGAGAGCAGAGCCTATTCCTGGTGGGACACTGGGAGGGACTGTCCCTGCTGCCCAGGGTAAATCTTGTTGCTTGGAACACAACCACCCCGAGGCTGGGAGCCCTTGCACCCCGCAGGGAACTGCCAGCCGCACTTCTCAGGACAGCAGCCCATGCAGCTGGCAGAGGTCATAGGTCATTGTGGCCCCAATTCTGTCACCTATGCCCCAATCAGGCCACTCCACCCAGCCCCCCTGCTATTAACCGCACGCCCCTTTGGACCCACCTGTCCCCCATTCACCTGAGTGGCTCCTCTGGGCTGGGGCCTGGGGAAACGCAGGCCTCTCCAGCTTTCCTCATCCAGAGCCAAACCTCTCCCTGACCTGTGACCTCCGGTTTTCTTCCATGTTTGTCCCCTCTGAGCAACACACCTTCTGAGGCCAGCCTGGCATCCTGCATCTGGAAAGCCTCCCACCCCTGCAGGCCAAGGCGTCCCTGCCCCTGGTGGGAGCCTGGTGCCAAGTTGAGGCTATGGGGTGGCAGACCCTTCCCAGCTCAGTGAAGCTGCTGAACTAAGCAAGCAGCAAGGCCAGGGAAGCAGAGCTGAGGGGCCCAGAGGGAGAAGAGAGGCAAGATCAGTGGAGGGGTTGCGCCTGGGAGCTAGGGCCAGCTGGCTGAGGGGAGGGGTTCCCAGCCGCCCACGCCTCCACCCCAAGGAGGCTGAGGTCCTGAGCAACAAGGCAGCCATATCAGCCCAGGGCTCACGTGCCTTCATCTCCCCCCGGGGGGCTGCTGCAGATAACCCAGCCCTCGTAGACCACCTCCATCCTGGACTGAGGATGGGGCGAGGGGAGAACGAGCATCAGTGCAGCCTTCAGTCAGCTGAGAGCAAGCCCGTACATTTATTTAACTTTTAGTAAAGTAAACATGGACTGTGTCGAACATCCTGCTTGTCGTGTAGGTGGGGCTGGGCAGGAGGAAGGGGGCTCGGGGCCTGAGGAGGGGCAGGGCCGGCACACACACTCTCACATCCCACCTCTGTCTTCCTGGATCCACCAAATCTCTGAGGCCAGGCCACAGAGCCAGAACACCACCTTCACCGTGAACTTCTGCTCCTTCTTGCAGAACACGTGGGTCCAGGAGTCCCAGGCCATGAGTGCTGTGACACTTCCTGCAATCTTGAAGTTGGGGTGTCAGGACACTTCCTGGGGTGTAGGCAGAAGGACCCCACCTGCATGATGCTCATCAAGTTCAGCACCGACTCAGGGGCAGCACCCAGGTCCCTCCGTTACATTTCCGTTCCCTCGGCAATTTATTTTCCATAATCTGGCTGGCTCAGAGACACGATCACGCATGGCATATTCACATTGTGGACACAGAAAATTCTGGAAAACGAGGTGTGGGGGCAGAGTAGATCTCACTCTTTCTTTTCTAGACAGTGTTTTATGAAGTCTGTGTGGAGGGAGATACACAAGGGGCTCTGGGGCCTCAGGGCCCCACCCCACCTTGTTTTCTTCAGGTCGTCTCCTGCACCAGGCTGAGGCAGTGGGAGCTCTACTACTTGGCCTTCAGCCTTGAGTAACTGGGAATCTCCTTCTTCCTGGGGTCACAGAATGTTCTGGTACCACAGGTCTGCCGTGGCCCAGGGGGAGCACAGGAGGGCAGGCCCTGCTCACCCTATGACCACTTCTTCGCCCCGACCCTTGGGCTGGCCCCAGTCATGGGCAGAGCCTGGACTCACCAGCCAAGTTCTTGCATTGGAGAGGGACTCGGGGCTTGGACAGGCCTAGTCCCTGTGGGAAGCCTGAGCTGGTGGGCTCCTGGCCCGCACACTGGACTCAGTTTGAGGGCACGGCAGCAGCGCTCTTTGTTGGCGGGGACGAGGAGGCCTCATTGGCCTTCTTTGCCTTTTTCGTCCGCTTCTTCTTTTTGGTCCCAAGGGGCGCCTGGTCTCCATTGAGCTGGACAGACTCCTTTGCCCGCCTCCCGAATGCGGCCTTGCTGCTGGCGGTAGCAGCCACGACAGCGCTGTCCTTCTTGGCTTTCTTTTTCAACTTTCTTTTCTTCTTTTTCTCCACGGGGACAGGGCCATGGACAGCGGACTCTTGGAGGATGTCGGACGCGGACACAGCCGCCTCCCGGCAGCGCTGTAACTCCTCGGCGCCATCATCGCTGCTGCCGGGGAGGGCGGGGAAAGTATTAGTTGGACTCGGGACGGGGGTATGTGGAGAACCCAGGTTTGGCTGGCGGGGGCAGTTCCCACAGAGGCTTCTCTCCTTCCAGGCTGCGTGACCCCGTTTCATGACTTAACCTCTCTGACCCTCAGCGTCTTCACCTATCAAGTGGGGATCTTAACAGAGCCCAGGCCTCACAGGGATGTCCCAGGAGTGTGGTGTCGGGCACGAGATGGGTGCTCCGAGAGCAGTCAACATCCAGCCCCCAGTGGAAACTCTCCCCCTACCACTGAGCTACTATGTCTCCAGCTACCTGGTGGGACTCCTCCTGGGTCCAGGCCTGATTGGGGTCCGCGTGGCTATCTGTGGGTGGAGGTGGAGGGGTGCGGGATCTGGCCAAAATGAGGGAACCTGAGGAGAGGACGTGTTATCTCACCTGGAGCTGGAAGGCAACCGTCTCCGGCGGGGCTGGGGAGCAGCTTCCCTCTCTGGGCCTCCGGGGATGGACGTGAAGAAAAGGCGGAAGCCTGCAACCCACGGGGATGGAGTCGGCACAGCCAGGGGCCCCCAGGTGCCGAGGCTGCCCCACCTCTGCCCTCATAGGGCTCCTGGTCCACAGGGCATCACTCCTGTCTAACAGAGAGCAGTGCCTCGCAGGATGCTTGAGGGGTTTCTGGCCACCAAGTCAAGCCAGCAAGTCTCCCAGAAGCTTCTGGGAGTCAGCAGCTGAGCTGCCTGCCTATGGCAGCTTGCAGAGTGGTGAGTGAGTTGGGCAGGGGACAGAGACTTGTGTGTGAGAGGCTGTGGGGTGCAGCAGGCAGGCGCTCCTGCTCAGGGTCACCTCGAGCCAGTGGCCGCACTCCTGGCCCCAGCTCCCCTCATGGGTCCCCCTATGAACAGGGTCACCATAACATCTGCCTCAGACAGGGCCTGCAGGCATGAAGGAAGATAATATGCCAAAAGGGCATTTCGTAGCTCCAGACTCACAAGAGGGGCTTAATAAAGAAGAGCTGTTATCAACAGTCAAGCTGCTCACCATCATCCTCCAGGGCGCCTCTCTGCACCTCGGCCTTTCTTGGCTCCTTCACGATTTCTGAGATGGTAATGGAGCTACAGGAAGAGACAGTGGATTTAGGATGAGATTTGGGGTAACAACAAAAACTCTTTTTAATTAAAACTTGTTTTTGTTGTTGCTAAGTGGAGGGGACAGAGTAATGCAATGTTACATGCAGAGGCAGAGGGGCCCCAGGCTGATGGGAACACGCCCGCTCACAGCCATGATGTGGTGAAGAGCCCCATTCAGCTCAAACGACGGTGACTCACTGGTTCAAACCCTACTTTTTCCCACAAAGTGCTGAAGAAGTTTTGAAGATACTCACAGTATAGCAGAACGCAACTTCAAATAAAGCAAAGAGAAAAGAGAGCACGAGGGACAGAAAGAGCCAGAAGTGTGGCCAGGAAGCCGACAGACTTGCTAGACAGAGGGCACACGTTTCGTTCTGAACTTCCTGGCAGCAAGCACAAAAAGGGAAACACGACCGGTTGAGGAAAGAACTTTTCAGAGGTTCAGCTCCTAGAACAGGCAGACCTGCTTTTTGGTTTTTGCTTTTTTTTTTTTTTTAATTTTTAAAAAGCTTGAGTTAATACATATTGACACTCAGTGCCAAGAAATAATATGGGGAGACCCCATGTATTCCCCACCTGGTTTCTCCCTGGGTAACACTGTGTGTAACTAACATCCATGATCACAACTGAGAAACTTTGTTACAATCTACTGACCTTTCTCAGACTTCAGACCTGGGTTTTAAGTTCTGATTTTTGTCACTTACTAACAAGGGATTTCATCTCTCTGAACCTGTGTTACCCCTCTGAACACTAGGAGTGATGAGACTCCCAGCCTCCTAGAGCTGTCACAAGGTTCAAATGAGAAAGTGGATTCCAATCCCTGAGCATGGAGCCCGGCTGCGAACCAGTAAACGACAGCTGTAACAATGATGAAGATGATTACTGCTGTAAGATAAGCAATCAGTGGAATTCCCTGGTGGCTCAGTGGTGAAGCCTGAGCCTGCCAATGCAGGTTCAATCCCTGGCCCGGGAAGATCCCACATGCCATGGGGCAACTAAACCCATGAGCCACAACTACTGAGCCTGTGCAGGGCCTGTGAGCTGCAACTACCGAGGCCAGATGCCACAACCACTGACGCCTGTGAGCCTAGAGCCTGTGATCGTAACAAGTGAAGCCACCGCAATGAGAACCCCTCGTACCTCAGTGAAGAGGAGCCCCCGCTCGCCACAACTAGAGAAAGCCTGAGCAAAGCAATGAAGACCTGGCACAGCCAAAAAAAACAGATAAGCAACAAGCTCCACAGGACCCCTTTCTCTAGCACAAAGAGGGGAGAACTGCCGAGACCAGGAGGCAGGTCTCAGGGAGTGCTGGCAAGTCAGTCACCTAGCAACTGCAGAGACCAACGCTCTCAGCATCATCCTTGCAGCAACAGAATAATGTACTGGGTACTTCTCCTAACTGCCTTGCGTAGGTGCCAGAGGCCTCATCCTGCATGGGACATGGTCTGGGGAGAGGGAACAGAGACGATGCCAACAGGGTCCTGACCCTGACGGGGGTATCT